GGAGACAGAAATGATAAAATCAAATCAATTACAAAGCATCAAGGAAGAACTTCAGAGAAATGTTTCCCTACAGCTGATGCAGAATCTCAATAAAACTATGAAAATCAAGAACCTTTCTGCCATGCTGCAAAACATAACCACCGAGCTGTGTCGAGAGCTGGTTAACAAACATCCAGGTAATCCTGTATTGCCCTCAAAACTGTTTCCCTGGCAGAAAAAAAAAACTAAGCCTTAGAGTCCTTTACGAGTTAATTTCTCGCGCAGCCTATATTGAATGTGAAATTAAATGAGTTTTGTAAATGAGTCATTGATATTTCCCTAGTTGGAGAAAAACAAGGAAAGTAATAAAAAGTACAAGCTGTCAACTTACAGGGTTCTGACAGTTCCATAATGAAGCGCCTGTCAGTATAAACAGTTTCTCTAATCTGCAGTGTATTACCATTGTCCTGGGTACAGATCTCAAGAGATGATGATGAGGGAAGGAAGCCTCTATAAATGACCTCACTCCTAAATTTCATGTAGTACTGAAGGACTGAAACGTCCTGGCAAAGAAATGAGGTCTGGGCGGTGTATGGAATCAGGGGAGTGGGTGTTGTCTATAAGCACCTTTGTAGGTTTTGTGGCTAGACTGTGTTTCCCATGCTTCTCAGATGCCTCTCCAACATGCCAGGAGTTGAAGTCCAGAGAGACCCCTGGTGGGCAAGTCAGTCTGATGTGGCCGTGGGAGCCTGGGTTTTACTAGACAGCATATTAGATGTGATTAGTTTTTAAAGTCATAAGGGAGTTCCTAGTGATGGGCAACATGTCTGAATCTGGCCAGGTACTTGTGTGTTTTTGGTTTGCCCAAGTTTTGTGTCAGGTTTCTAGGGTGATATAGAGAGATGTAGAGGGTTTGCTTTCTTTGTTGACCTAAAGAGAGTGAACACAGTAAATCTGGTCAATGTCATCCAGACAATAAAGGGATAATTGTCAAGAGTGTTGAAACCAACCCCTGTAAAAAACTCTGTCCTTCTAGAGCACAAATGTAAACCATGTCCAAAGGGTTCACAATGGTACAAGGACAGCTGTTATTCTGAAGTCAGAGGGTATGCAACATGGCAAGAGAGTGTTACGTCCTGCTCTTCTCAGAATGCCAGCCTCCTGAAGGTTAAGAACAAGGATGTGCTGGTAAGGGTCCATGTCTCTGTTCCCTCCAAAAAGGAATCAGCTTCATATCATGAAATATGGGTTACAGAGGTATGCATTGGGAAGACATACAGTGTCTTGACTCAGAATTATTCTTCTTGCAAGCTCAGAGGACTGTGCTTTGCACTTTTGTCTTAGGAAAATCATAATCAAGCTAAAATACACAAGGTTTTAGCTTAAGTGGAATTTTAGAACCTGTAAGATAGATGGGTACACCAGGGACTCCCATAATCCTCAGGTCTGTGTGTTTCCAAGGTGGAAGTGTAGAAGCAGGTTTCTGTTTATGCCTTCTGATTAGTTCTCCAAAGACAGAGAGAATGATGATCACAGCTAAGTCTCACCACTCCCATAAACACCACATGGGGCATATTCTCTATTGTCATTATATCATATCTTTTGTCATATCTTTTGGTGAATAGGCAAAACAACAAAAACAACAGCAACAACAACAATGAAACAGCTTAACTCAGATAGAATGATATATATGTAAATAAGTACACTGGGTTGATAGAGAGGAAACCAATGCTAAATATACATATTTCACAGTTATTATTACCAATGAAAAGTAAATTCTCCTGTTTATTTATTTGTTTATGTTTAAGTAAGTGGTGCTCAACCTTCCTAATGCTGTGACTCTTTATTACAGTTCCTCAGGTTGTGGTGACACTCAACTATAAAATTATTTTTGTTGCTACTTCATAACTATAAAATTGCTACTGTTATGAATTGTAATTGTAAATATCTAAGCTTTCTGATTGTTTTAGTCAAGGCCTGTGAAAAGGTCACTCACCTCTCAGTGGGGTAATGACTCACAGGTTGAAAACCACTGGTCTAAATAATGTCTTTGTATTTTATTTGTCAGTCAAAGTTCTTATCTTTCACATAGCATCTTTTTATTATTTTCTGTTTTGTTTTTGTTTTTGATTTTTTGTTTTTGTTTTTTTTAGACAAGTCTTACTCAGTATCCCTGGCTAACCTCTCATAGCAATCCTGCCTCAGCCTTCCAAAGGCTAGAATTACCAGTGTGATCTGTTGATCCGAAATTATAGTCATTTATTGTGGTATAAAAATATATCTCCTTAAGAGCTTAGCTTTTCTACCATTAGAAACTTGTCATCTTTTATAGGAGAAAAGAATTCTCTATAAAATCGGTTATTCTGTCTCATTGACCTTTTTCAAGTGATCATTTATAATTATTTACTTTAAAAAACCCAATTGGTTTAAAAAAAACCACACACACAGACACAGACACACACACACACACACACACACACACACACACACACACACATGCACACTCTACTTTGGCCAAAAATTCTGGGAGGGCTCTGGGCTCTGTAGTTACTGTTTTTCTCTGACTTTGGTTCTACTTTCCTCTTTTACTGTTAAGTCTGGTTTGCAATCATTATCCACTTCCTTTGTCCCAGAGTCAATATTTGCTAACAAAATATTTAGAGCAGAAAATTGTTAAGGTTTTCATTGACCCTATATTAATGTTACTCAATGAATCAGTAGGTTTTTTCATCATTAGTGGCAAAGGCTGAAGAGATCTCAGAGACTTCAACCCACTGTTGCAAAGTTCTTGGACCCGTCAAAGAATTCATACAGAGAATACAAAAAGTTGTAGGGTTTTATTAGAAAGCAAAAGTCGAGCTGGAGAGATGACTAAGCAGATAGGAACACTGGCTGATCTCCCAGAGGTCCTGAATTCAATTCTCAGCAACCACATGATGGCTCAGGACCATCTGCAATGGGATCTGATTCCTTCTTCTGGTGTGTGTGAAGACAGAGCACTCGTATACATTAAAATAAATAATTGTCTTGTGAGAATTTACTGAAAGAAGATTCTGGAATGAACCAGGATTTAACCAGGATCTACCATTTCTGTTTGTTCTTACACTGGCAGATTGGGTGTGTTATAGCATCAGACTCAAGGGAGAGCTGTAGATTTTGCAAGACTGATCAGAACATAACAATGAAATAAAGGACTGTTTGACACTACCAGGGTCAGCCATGGTTCTGGCCAGCTCTGGTGGTGGTTTTGATTGTTTGCACAGTTTCAGGATATCCTGCTGCAACACAGCTGGCTCAGTGGTTGCATCAGCCTCTGGGCACTGTAGCTTCTGTCTAGTTCTTCCCTGCCTCTACACAGCAGGCCCTGCTTTCTTTCTGCTAGACAGGGAAATATGCTGTGAAACACTGACATCTTGCCTTTAATATTAATATATTCTCTCATATATTACATTCCTACCCAAAATCTCCCTCCTCTCCACCCAGCCCATCCCTCTAACCCTCCTCAGTTACCCTCAGAAAAGGGCATGAATCCCAGGGATCTAAACCAAATGTGCTTATGAAGTTGCCATACAACTAGACACTTCTCCCTATATTAGGGCTGGGTGAGGCAACCCAGTAGGAGGAAATGGGTCCCCAGAGCAGGCAAAATAGTCAGAGACAGCCCCACTTCCTGTTAGGGATCCTACAACAACACCAAACTGCACAAGGATAACATATGCAGAGGGTCCAGGGTAAACCCATGCAGGCTCCTTGATTGTTGGTCCAGTCTCAGTGAGCCTCTGTGAGTCCAGGTTTGTTGATTCTGTGGCTTTCCTTGTGGTGTCCTTGACTCCTCTGGCTCCTACAATCCATTCTCCCTTCTTTCTCAGGATTCACTGAGTTATACCCAATGTTTGACTGTGGCTCTCTGCATCTGTTTTCATCTGTTGCTTTGATAGAACCCCTCTAATGGTGATCATGCCAGAAGCCAGGCTCCTGTCTATGAGTATAGTAAAGCATCATTAGGAATAGTTTCATTTGTTTTTTTATGTGCGTGTTTGGTTCTATCCTAGGCCTCTCAGCCATCTGTCCTCTAGTTTATTTCCTACAGGCTGTGTAGGGGTCTGCTTCCTCTTAGGGCATGGGTCTCAAGCTGGACCAGTCACATAATTTGGACACTCACATAATATCTGTGCTACCTTTAGTCTAACACACCTCACTGGCAGGAGTAATTGTAGGTCAAATGCTTTGTGACTTTGTTGGTTTCCCAATCCATCCAGTAGAAGTTAAGCCTTGTTAAAGGAGATGGTCATTTCAGGCTTCATATCCCTGATTCATAAAAATCTTAGCTGGAGTCATCCTAGTAGATTCTTGGGGGTTTCCATTACACTAGGTTTCTGCTTTACCCCAAATTGCTTCCCTACCCAAGTTGCACTAGTCTCTTCCAGTACCCTTTCTCTCCATCCTCCACTGACCTGATCCCTCCTGTTAGCATCTACATCTGTCCCCAGTCCACACACAATATCTATTTTATTTCCCCTTCTTAAAAAGATTCATGCAACCCCTTTGAGTCCTTCTTGTTACATTGCCTCTCTAGATCTGTGGATTGTAGAATAATTATCCTTTACTTTAGAGTTAATATTCACTTACAAGTGAGTATGTACCATATTTGTCTTTCTGGTTCTGAGTTACCTCACTCAAGATGATTTTTTTCCTAGTTCCATCCATTTGCCTGCAAATTTCATGTTATCTTTTTTTAACAGCAGAGTAATACTCCATTGTGTAAATGTACCACATTTTCTTTATCCATTGTTTGGTTGAGTGACATATATGTTGTTCCAATTTCTGGCTTTTATGAATAAAGCTGCTATGAGGATAGTTGAGCAGGTGTCCTTGTGGTATGTTGGAACATCCTGTGGGTATTTACCCAAGAGTAGTATAGCTGGGTCTTGATAAATCTACTCCCACTTTTCTGAGAAACTATCAAATTGATTTTCAAAGTAGCTGTACAGGGTTGCACTCCCACCAGCAATGGGGGAGTCTGATTCTGCTCCACATCCCCACCAGCATGAGCTGTCACTAGTGTTTTTGACCTTAGCCGTTCTGACAGGTGTAAGATGGAAACTCAGAGTCATTTTGATTTGCTTTTCCCTGATGACTAAGGCTGTTGAACATTTCCTCAAGTGCTTTTGGCCATTTTGGATTTATCTGTTGAGAATTCTCTGTTTAGATCTATACCCCATTTTTAATTAGATTATTTGGTTAGTTAACATCTAGTTTCTTGAGTTCTTTATATATTTGGGAACTTAGTCCTATGTCAGCAGTAGAGTTCCTGAAAATCATTTCCGATTCTGTAAGCTGCCATTTTGTCCTATTGATGGTGTTCTTTGAATGAAAAAAAATTTTTTCAACTTCATGAGGCCTCTTGTATTAGTTGTTAATCTTAGTGTCTGAGCCATTGATGTTCTGTTCATGAATTGTCTCCTGGACCACTGGCATCTAAAGCAACACTATCTATCTATCTATCTATCTATCTATCTATCTATCTATCTATCTGCCTATCTATCCACCTATCTATCTTTCTATTATCTATCAATCAGTCAATCATGATTTATCATCTTCTATCTATTTATCTATCAATCTATCTATCTATCTATCTATCTATCTATCTATCTATCTATCTATGTATCTATCCATCTATCATCTATCACTTTTATTTGAATATATATATTTATTTGAGTATATATGTATATACATACATATATATATATATGTATGTATATCATCCTGACTGCAGTTTCCCTTCCCTCCCCTCTCCCCAATCTTTCCTACTACATCTCCCCTTTCCCCCAGAGCCACCACATTTCCACCTCCGCTCATAAAAGATCAGGACTCCCAGAGTCATTAACCAAATACAGAATAAGAAGCTACAATCTATAAGACCAGGCACATACTCTCGTATCAAGGCTGGACAGGGTAACCCTTCCAAATGACATTGAAAAATGGTAATGCTGCTCCAAAGCTGTCATTTAGGGTACAGATATAAGAGACAACTTATTACAAAGGCCATTTCTGTTTCTGTAGGAATTTATAAAGATTAAGAGGCTAAACGGTTATTGGCTAGCATTGTCACCCAGAAACGATTACATAAACTATGAGACACTGAGTGAGAAGATGTTCCTCTCTCAATGGTAAGTCTTTGGCCTTGTTGGATTTTTATAGCTAGATTTGAATGATGACAATTTCCACAGGAACTTGGTAGATTGCTGTTAAAAGCAGCTTCAGCTGACACCACTTCCTTAAAGGTACCTGTCCCATCAGGCTTTGTGACATCTACATTCGATTGTGTAGAGAGTTGCCCTATATATCCTATCACTATTGTGGCAAATTTCCAACAACCTACAGGAACCAAATTATGGAAACTCTTTTTCTTCTAAAAAATTACTGCTTATAGTTAAGAAGATAGGAGAAGCCAAAACCATTCACTAGACATCTTTAAGTACTTAATATTGTGCAATATTCTGGAATTCAAAAGTAAATGAAAGACTGACAGTTTCAAATTAGTCAGGGCTGTATGTATAAGTCTGTGTTGAGAGTCCATGTATGTGTGTTTGTGTATGTGTAGTGCATGTATGAATGATGCACTTATGTGTGTACTGCATATGTGGTATGTGGGTATGTGTATGTATGTGTATGTCAGCTTCTAGAGGAAGTCAGAGGATTCTGGTGTTATTTTTTTGTTTGTTTGTTTGTTTGTTTGTTTTAGGTGTACTCTTCTTTCTGTTTTTAGAGGCAGAATCCCTCACTGGCCTGGAACTCTCCAACAGTCTAGGTTGCAGGGAGCCACAGTGATCTGTCTGTGTCTCCCTAACACTAGGATTATGAGTGTGTGTTACCAGGCTCAGATTTTATTCATGGATTCTGCTTCAGAGGGAGCAGCCTCTGAAGGAGAGCAATCTCCAGGCCACAAGTATCCAGGGGGAGAATGTTATGGTGAACATTTTCTGCACATCCCATCAACATCAGCACAGAGACCAGAGGAAGGCTTTGTCTGAGGGTCTGAGGTCGTGGTCCTTAACATGGCCAGCTCATGCCAACAACACACCCACTCAAGGCTTCCCACACTCCAGGCTTCTTCTGCTTCCTTCATTAACTGATAAACTATTTGATGACTTTTACTAATCAGTCTGAGAATCAATGTTATGTTTATCAAAACCACAATGTGTTCAAGGTATAAATACTATTTATCACCAATAACCCATGTTGTAGGCTACTTGGTTAGAAGGACTGCCTGAGATAGTGCTAGCAGGAATTACCATATGAGAGATGGTAGTCTTGAGGCTTTCTAAATTGGGTTCATTGTAGCTTTGGTTGTTAGGTAAGGCACCTGATGATGATAGTGCAAAGTTAAGGTAGAGTCTTATGATCTGGCATTATTCTAAGTCTCATCAGCCGTGGGAAGAGAGGCTAAGTCTGGAATCAAATGACAGAAAATATTCCAGATGAGGGAAATTGAGAAAATAGTATTTCACATCACATATATGTACCCCAGTCATCAACTGAAATTTAACTTAGACAATAGACCACACAATTAATAATGTTCTTTGGAAAATTCTGTTCTGTGGGTATAATCAAAACACAACTTGCCAGCTGTGCTTATTTTTCTCTTCTAGGTTTGAAGGAAGCACATATGACTTAAACACGATGATGTACTGCAGATACATAAATGGGGAATATGTTGACTATACAAAGTGCACTAGTCAGAAACGAACCATGTGTGAAAAGCCAGCCAGCAAGGTCCAGGTGGAAAGTGTGCTGAATGGCTTTCCAGATGATAGCCTGTAGCTACTCTGCAATTGCTTGTCTCTAGCTACTATTTTACTATGTTTGTTTGAATGAGAATGTCCCCCAGGGGATCAAGCATTTGAATACTTAGTCCTCCCTTATTAGAACTGTTTCAGAAGCATGGGAAGATGTGACATTGTTGGAGGAGGTGTGTCACTGAGGATGGGCTTTGAGCTTTCAAGAGCCCATGTCATTCTCTGTTATTTCAGTCTCTGTCTTGTGCTTGTGGATTGAGCTGTGAGCTCACTGCTACTGCTCAAGGCCATGTCTGCTTGCCTGCTGCCATCCTCCTCACCACAGTGGTCATGGACTCTAACCCTTCTGGAGCCAAATTAAATGCTTTTATAAGTTATCTCTGTCATGGTGTCTTGTCACAGCAATTTGAAGATGCTAAGATATCTGCCATTCAGAAGTACTATAGGCAGTGTGCAACTCCTCTCACACAAACACAGTAACAACAATGTGACTGCAGTCCTGCCTCTCTATAATGCTTATGTCTAGATTTCTTTGTCTCCTTTGCTGACTGCCACACTACTAAGTCACAGTTTATCACCATGTATTTTTCAGCACACAGTGTGCTGAACACAAGACCATGTAGCCTATTTCTTCTCTCTTTCCAAAGATAAACCAGGCAAATTTCAATCTCAAAGAAAATAAAGTCTGGAAAATATAATACAGAGAGCATAGTGTGATATGAACAACTTGTATTAAAGATTTATGCACATTTTCAAAAAAATATGTGAGGGAAAATCAGTTTTTCAATTGGCAAAGCAAAGCATTTGATGAATATTAATACACTGTAATAGTTAACTTTAGGAAACTAGGAATAGCTTTCACAAATATAAACAAGCTTTGACATGAAATAAACAGCAAACGAATGAGCAACACTATGACGTTTGAATTGTCATCATAGTTCTAGTAAGAGAAAGCATGTTCCTAATTTTAGAATAAGATAAGAATGAACTTCATTAATCACTTCATTCAACAACTTCTACTGTCAGAGATCCAGCAAGAAAATCAGGCAAGAAAAAGGCATATTAAATTAGTAAGTTGGGAAAGGTTAAAATAAATCATTTCATTTGTAGCTAATATAATAATGTACTTGAGAATGTTAATGGCTATTCGTGGTTGTCAACTTGACTATATTTGGAATGGACTACAATCCAGAATTGGAAAACTCACTGGTGATCCAGATCTGGAGACTGTGAGATTCAAGTTCCTGACCCTGATCTTGACATGGAGATCTTGAGGCATAGTGGCTATGGATCCAAGGAGACTAAGGCATGGAGATCTCTGAGTTCAAGGTCAGCCTGGGACAAAACAACTCTGAGATCCAGATGTGGTGGTACACACCTTTAATCTGGGCCACACCTGCTGCTGAAGACCCACATAAGGACATTGGAAGTAGGAAGAGTCACTCTTGTTTGACTGCCTGCATTTACTTGCCAGCACATTTGTTGGAATCTACTAGCTTTGTGGGACTGAGTAACTACTAAATCCTTGGACTTCCCATTCGAATGTGACCATTGTTGGGGAGTTGGACTACAGACTGGAAGTCATCATAACACATTCCCTTACTATATAGAGAGTATCCATAAGTTCACATGACACTAGAGCACCCTGACTAATACAAGAACCAATACAGTTGTTTAATTGCTACAGTAAGCATTATATCATATCAAAAATCACTGGATAAAATTTCAACAGAACTCAAACATATTTCTATGTATTAACAATGAGCAATTGGAAGTAAAATTTAAGAGGCAATCTCATTTTAACAGCTTCCCCAAACATAAAATAAAAATCCAAACAAAAAACAGTAGTAAATATCTATATGCAAAAAGCATGTTGTAGGATATGGTCCTGCATTCACTCTACTACACAGCTTAGCCACTAGGAGAGGCAGGGCACAGGAAGTTGACCACACTTACTCCTTGCTGTCATCGATGGGTATTGGGCCATAGGGCAGTTCCAGTACAACACTCCAGGAGTGGGAAAGTGGAGTGGTATGGCTGGAGCTGGCTTGGGGCAGCCCAGGCCTGCAAGAAGGCCAGGGCTGTCTGGTCCTCAGGCTCTCAGATATGGAGGCGCCACTGGAAGCCACAGAAGAGCTGAGAATGGAGTGTGGGCCACAGGCTGGATCTGTCCTGAGGTGGGGTTGGGGGCAAAGGAGGTGAGGGAAAGGGGGTGCACCAGCTGGTCCTGCAGGAGGAGTTCTTGTCTTGTTGGTGGTGGGTTTGAGCTTGGGCTCAGTGGTGGCCATAGCTGGGAGTGCAGAAATGCCTTTGAAGATTAGAAGTTGGTTCTAAAGGCAAAGTTCTTCTCCACAGCTGCCCATGGCAGATTTCCATGGACTGAAGAAATTTATTGTCATGGCAGAAAGTAGTGGAGTAAAATCATACCCTACTTCTCTGGGTGGGCCTGAGGTTAAATACCTTTTGCAGGAAAGAATGACTGGGCAGGAAAGCTTATTGTCTAAGTTCCCCAGGCCTGTAGGTACCTCATTAGAATGGAGATCTGTCTTGAGTCTACTTGACCAGAGGTCACATCCTTTACATGTGGAGGGACTTGGAGTGTTGTCCATCCGTGACTGATAACCACTAATCTATGGGGGTGCTGCAGCTAGTGACAGGGGAATGGAGCCTGGGAATAGGTAAAATGACTGCTGTCACTTCAGGGTTTCCAGGATTTCAAGCCTTAGCTCAACCAGGAATGAGTCTACCTTTCAGGGTCCCAGAGTATGTACAATTTAATCCATTTTCTTTCCTAGGGATCTCAATATTTAATGATTGTAAGCAGACTTCTGGTTAAAGAGTCTCCTATTGAGACAATCAAATACTTCATTGAGTATATCCCCAGTCAATTTCTTATTTTCTTTCGCCTCCATGTGATATTCCTACAAGCCGATGTACATTGGACATCTAAGAACATTTTTCAGGGGATCAAACCTGAACAATAACCAAGAGGAATGGGCCAAGAAAGCAGATGCTATGAGATTTGGGGCCTGAAACACCTGTTGCCCATGGGCTAATGAAAACTCCATCACTGTGTTAGAGGGGGGAAATATTGTCGAGCTAGAGAGTAAGAGCATAGTTGTATTTAAAGGACAGACAACCCTTTGCTGGATTGGTGATCCAGTGGAGACAAGAAAGTTTCAGAGAGATGCATGGACATTTGAGAAATATAGATAGAAGACAAACGATAAGAATAGGGAACTTAGGGAACCATTAGGAACATTTTCATGTGTCCTTTAGAACAAGAAGTGGAAGGACAACAAGTGTATAGTCAGAAATGAGATTAAATTCCCCAAAGGTGAGGGCTGCCATGATGCTGAATGAAAAAGCTCATTATCTCATTTAATGGAAAAGTGAGGAAAGTTAAGGACCACTCATGGGAATTACTAATTGAAAGGGCAGAACAGCAATGGAAAATGAAGCTGGGCAAAGATCAGAATGAGGCCAAAGCTGGGAAGACAGTGATGGGAGCATCTGTTGTTGACCCACCCTGTCCAATGAAGCAGTTAAGTAGACTGAAGAAAATGCCAAAGATCTGTGTGGGGACACTGGGGGAATGCTACACATTTGGGTTCAGGAGCAGAGCAAACAAAGCACTTCTCATTTTTATTATTAATGCAATCAAAACACAAGGTGACTTTTGCTTCAACGTGTGAGGGGGACCTGAAGGTTAGAGGTCAGTCTACTTGGAGAGCATCCATTAGATTTCTTAGCCTGCTGGATCCCAAGTATCTTCCCTGACCATGGTCACATGAATGGGGAGTTATGGTGGTCAGACCTTAAGTAGCTGGTCACCCTGCATCCATAAAAATGGAGAGCAGTGAATGTTAATGTCTTCTTCATTCACTCCAGGACTCCAGCCCATGGACTGTGTCTCTCACAGTTAAAATGGGTCTCTCCACATCGAGTCACCTAGAACATTCTTTACAAGCATCCCAGGGACATGTCTCTTAGGTGATTCTAAGCGTTTCAAGCTGACAGTACTGTGACAGATATTGATAATTACCAACAGGTACAAAATCTACAAGAGAGGTATGCTTCAATACTAAGTTAAACAAAACAAAACATATTTGCCATAAAAAACAAATAATCAAGTTTCAAAGATATGGGGATATTACAGGAGTTACTTTAATAGCCCACAGAGACTTTTATGTTCTTATATGAGTTTTGGAAAAAAGAAAACTAAAGGTTTGGATTGGTTGTTAATATCTGTAAGTTTTTCAAATTTTAGAAGAAACCAACAAATGTCAAATTATTTATTTTCTTTATTTGGATGCTAATGCTCTACTACTGTAACATATTTTTGGTCTTCTGAAATTCACGCAACTATTGACACTTGGTTCCAGGTGAAAATAATTTATAAAGTCACAGTGTTCTATTAATACAGTGAAACTGAATCTTAGTACTTTCAAATCTAGACTTTTGAATCCAGAAGTCGTGGATTCTATTCTTAGATTTGTTTCCCTCGACAAATTTAGTGCTAGCTTCTGCATAGTTGTGGCAGAAATGAGTAGTATGGTAGAAGATCTATAGCGGACACCCAGAATACTGACCAAGAAAACCTTCAGTAGGCTGAGAGGAACCAGGTTTCTACCTGGAGGGATACTGCCCTCTAGCGGTAGCACGGAAAAACTTTTCCTTGGTGTGGTACTAAAGAGAACTTTTAAGTTGGAATAAAACCATCATAGGTCTGACTCTGCTGGAAACAGTCTTGGTCTCCATGGGCCCCGCCCGTACACCGCGTCCATATAATCCTATTTACTGTGGAGGTTATTGAAAGACACTCAAAAAAGCGGGGTAGTGCACATCTGTAATCTCAGAACTCAGGAGGTGGCTGAGTGCTGGGGGACAGCTGAGTTCTGGGCCAGGCTCAGCTACACAGTGATTTACTGTTACATCCCAGTTGGTTTCACAGATATCTACGCAGTCTTAACTGTTGCATTTAGGAACTCTGGAGATATTTCCAGCCCACACAATTTTGGGAAGCCATATTTAATTAGTTTTATGGATTTGACTTACAGCTTTAAACGAAAGTACCTTTGGGTATGCCTAGGGCATAGTGTTTAGTCACCGTGTTTATCACAGCAACAGAGAGTAACTAAGACAGCCTAGGATCTCAGAATTACGGAAGTGAAGTCAGGAGAATCAGACTTCAAGGTGATCCTTGGCTAAACAGTGACTTCAAGACCAGCCTGTAACACGTGTGATCAGACCTGTCTCAAAAAACCAAACAGCAAAACAAAAAGAAAAGTGTAGAACTTGACCATTTAAACAGCCTTCCACTCAAGTAAAAGTCTCAATATGCTTTATGTTCTTTGAACATCATAAATGATTAAAA